TTCCGCTGATCAGACCGCTGACATTTTTACCAAAGTTCATCCGCCAGGCAGATTTCGGGAATTAATTTCCAAACCCAAGTTGATTTCTACTCTACCACCTTGAATTTGAGGAGGGGGGGGGGGGGGGGGGGGAATGTTAACATAATTAGATTATAACCGTTGTATATATTGTTACCAATTAGATTATAGCCGTTGTATATATTGTTACCATGATTATTATATAGCCATTGGTGATCTCTCACCTATTTATACCTCTCATTGTACATGATTTATTTATACTTATTATATAGAACATATTCAACATAAATCTTTGTCACTCTCTTATATTCAACAAGATCATTGATCATATATATATTTTTTATTTCTTTAAAGAATTAGCTATTAGAGACTTATTTAGTTTCCGTTTAGTTTTATGCATTAAAAAAAAAAAAAAAAATCAAAGTAGCAACTTTTGGGTATGTTGAATCGACTTGATGAATATCCTGGCAAGATTAAAGTTTTTTGTGAATGGAAGAGAGATGATGCATGATTGATTGCTTTGGTGTAGAGACGAATAAAAAGAAAAAAAAAAAAAAAAAGAAAAGAAAAAAAAATTATATGCTACTTGTGAACAGTTGGCCCACTCAATTTTTTAATAAGTCACTACTCCATATAATAAACTACCCAATCTCTTCGGATGAAAGATCATTTTCCATAATAAAAACAAAAAATAAAAAACGTTGGAGTAAGATTTTAATGGACCCCAGAAAAATCGAACCTTATAAATTCTTTGTTTCCAGGATATCCAACAATAATCAGTGGAAGATCTCATGATCTTAAGTACTAAGATACATGGAATTCACTTTGTTAGTGGCCTAACATTCAATATTATAAGGTCAGAATTCAACATGGAATTCCAAAACCATATTAAATCACTCTCAGCCACTCGTTTCTCATTTCCACATTTTTGCTTCAAAACACCATTACCCAAGTGCTCAACTAAATGAAGCCAATGAAAAGCCCCACCAGCCAACCTCAAGATCCAAATGTCATTTCCCATCTCTCTCTCTCTCTCTCTCTCTCTCTCTCTCTATATATATATATATATATAAATATATATGTGAAGTTATGAAGACATGTGTACCTAACTGAAAAATCTTCAACCTCTTTTCAGTGTTTGGTTTGGTTTCGCTTTTCTTATCACTTCATTTTTTCAAAATTGGCTAGAACCTTCACGTTTATGACACGTGACATGTTCTCCAAAAGGTCAAATTACAATTTTCTGTCAACATTTAATCATACGCAGCATGAAAAACTCTAAACATGAAATTTGTAGTGGGATTTTATTTTAATTATACTTTTGGATATTGATTGGGTGTTGCATGATGGGTAAGAGTGCGATCCCACCGCAAGACAATCTTTACTTGCATATTCTCTGTTTGGACAAAATATTTATTATCTGATAATATGATAAATTATTATATGTCATATGGTCCTAATCAGTTAATATTTGATAAATCTATTAAATTTGAATTTTTGAAAATAATAATTTCACAAGAGTGTATTAATATAATTGTAAATAAATCTCAACAACAATTTGGATTGAACTGATTCACCTCGTGTCATATGGATCAGTACTATTTAATAATTTATCAATAGAGCAGCGTTATATGATACTCTCAACCCAATGAAAATCCCATCATTTCTTTAATTGTAAGAAATAATGAATTAGTAATGGGTGGAGTACTATTTTTTTCCTAGATGGTAGAAAATAGTGAATTAGTGTTGGCTATAGTACTTTTTATGGAACCTCCGGAGTACTAAATGGATAGCATCATCTGAATTTGAATGATGTATTATTGCTTATTCTAATTTTAATTTCTAATTAAAACGAATTGGGGCAAGTATAACTCAATATTAATAAGATATAAAATGAGTAGGGTTAATTTATCCCAATATTTACAAGTTCAAACAATTTGTCACTCAATTAGGATTTTCTTATTTTATACATGGGTTGATTGTAAATTATACTATGGGTGTGTTCAGCTACATATAATTGGAGACTTGGAATTAAAATTCATAGAATTTGAAAAAAAAAAAATTTTGAACCATAATTTTTTCAAATTCCATTAATTTCAATTTCAAAACTCTAATTTCATACAGCTAAATGCACTATATAAAATTTCGACTTAATTCATTTGGAATGAATATTATAGATTTGAATTTAGATTTTCATGAATTTACTCTACCTCATACATCTCTTTTTTCACTCTCTCAATTTTATTACGCAAAAAATTAGAGGAAAAAAAAAATAACAAGAATTGATTATAAAAAATAAGACATGAATTGTGTAGGGTTTATCCCAAACCGAATGTCCACAAACTTTGAACAACTTGTCACTCTAATAAAATTATTTAAATCATACATAAATTGATTATAAATTACATGTGATAAGAGTCAATTAAACAAATATTTTGAATATTCACGTTCATAGATCTTACCCTATATCATATACTGTAATTTCATATATGCGGTATGCATTTTTATTTCTTTCTTAATTTTAATAACTCAAAAAAATAAAAATAAAAATTGGTGACATCAAATTAATAGCATCTAGCTTTAGATAAAACAAAACAAAATAAAATAAAATAAAATAAAATAGTAGTATGAAATTGACAAGAAAAACAATTGGATGACAACTTGTGGCCATAATTTTTTGGGATTTTAGTGTATGGAATTGAGCAGTCCAAGCCACATACGAGTGGTCCAAAAAAACATCATCCAAAAATCTCTTTCTTCTCTCTCTAGCTTTCCATTTTCTCTCTCTAAATACACGTGGCGACATTTATGAATGTGGGCGGCGAGTGGTGTGATGACTTGGCAAAAAGCGTAGAGAAAGTCACGAAGTACTGTAGCTCTATCTCATCCATCAACCTTTTCTTTTCTAATCCACTAGTCTTGGCTCACCTTCTCTTTCGTTATCGTGATTTAAGAGCCTTCACATTTTTTTAATTATAATTTATTATTATTTAAGGAAGATAATTTATTATTATTATTGACTCAACTTTAATCTCCTTTTATCCCAATAATGGATATATATATATATAGATATTTATGGCTTCACTCTCCTCGTGCATTGAAATGCATACTCGCCTCCAAAACAAAACTACCCCTCTCAATTTTACTTAAATTGAACTATTTAAAAACTTACTATTACTATTTATATTAATTTTGGTAGAGTTTAATGGTGAGGAATGAGGATGAAAAAGGCAAATAGTGTCAAACGTGTTTTCTCAATCATTTAGGGAAAAAAAAATGATATATCAAGTAAATTTTATTAAAAATTACTTGTAAGAAGGGTACATAATACAGTTCAAATAACTATCAACTAAACACAATATAAGTATCACTTATTACTAAACACTCGAATAAAAAAGGATAATTTGCATTCACACCTCTTAAGCTTTGAGTCAACACCACTCAGTCGGTCAACGCACTAGTTTACATTGATATATTTTGAGGTTTCAAAAGTGTTCATACACACCCCTCTAAATGAGAAAATGACTATTTTAACCATAGACTTGGTCAACAAATACATAAAAGTGCAAATTACTAATATAACCTTATAAACTAAATTTTGAAGGACTAAAATACCCTTCATTTTACATTATGTCTCTAACCCTACACAATACACATTTATCCTCAAGGTTTGGCAACAAATGCTCTAGTAGAGAATGGCGCTTGGAGGCAACATCGTTGAAGAGAGGTTCAACAATGGTAAGGTTGGAGGAGAGCTTGGAGGCGGCGCCATTGAAGAAAAGGTTTTCTTGGAATAGGTTTTTTGAAGTGGAGCTGCAACAGAGAATAATGCTAGCCGATGTCCCCAACAACAAGCCACCATTCTAAAGGGATTGTCGATTCACTCCCCGATCTGAAGCGTCAACGTGTTGAGGACGTCTCGATCGCCATCGTCTCCGAAGAGAAGAAATCGTTGTCCTTGGATGAGCTACCATTTGACTGATTCACTCAACCACCTGCCGGAATTGATGGCGTCGAGCGACGGTGGTGCTATCTAGTGATGTCAAGGTGTTGTGGCGACGGAAGATTCGGAAATCTTGGCTTGGTCTAAGTTGGTGACTTTCGACAATTGCTCCACTGTGAAGTATTTGGCCGAGTCTGACCTTAAGCAATAATGGGTTCATTTTGGTGGTGTGGCGGTATGTGTGGGTGTGGTGGCGGCGGTTTGTAGCACTAGTTGTGGTGTCGGTGGTGGCACTATTGCTATATGGTAGTGGTTGTGTGGGTGCGTGTGTGGGTGTGGAGGTGGAGGTGGTTGTGGTTGTGGCGGTGTGTGTGTGGGTGTGGAGATGGTTGTGGCGGTGGCTGTGAGTGTGCGGTGGCCGTGGGTGCGGTGTGGGTGTGTGGTGTAGGTGGGAGGGGATTAAGAATATTGATTGTCAATTAACAAGTTTAGAGGTAAATATGACTTTGAAACTTAAGGGTTATCAATGTAACTTAGTGCGTTGACAGGTCGCTAAGTGGTGTTGATTCAAACCTCGTGGGGTTGTGAGTGCAAATTATCCAATAAAAAAATATAAAAAATTAATTTCTAATTAGTAACTAAAATTTTCAGTATTTAATTTTTTTATTTCGTTAAGTACTCACATAATTTTGTTAAATTATGGATTATGGTAGAAATTTGCACCACTCACTGAGAGAGAGAGAGTGACACGTTTCAACCAATTAACTGCGCGTACGAACTTCACATCTACACTCGCGAGTACAGTTTATGTTGTGTCAACAACTATAGAAAACAATGATGTGAAAGAAAAAGCCGAGGTCGTGACAAGAGTGCGCCACGTGTCCGGGCTGTCTTTCGACGTGAGCCACAAGATTCCATATATTTCTCGATCTTTCTTGAAATATCTAAATAATCCGAAAAATACAGAAAAAATACAATCTGACGTGGCACTTCCTCTCTCTTCCTTTTTCTCTCCCAACCCCCTAAAAGCAATTAAATTCACAATCACAGCTCTCTCTCTCTCTCCTCTCGCTGTTTTTTCATAGTCTCTCCAGCTGGTTCTTTCTTCCTCCTGCTTTCACTTTCTCTCTCTCTACTTTCTCAGCAGCCAAACGGTGTCCAGAAAAATCAAGGCTCGGCTTTTGAGTTTCTGGTGGTCGTATCAAGGTTGCTCGGTCATCGGAAAACCATTTTCGTTTTCCTTTTCCTTTTGCCCTGTTGTTTGACTTAATTCTTGCTTCAGCTCTTAGTTTTTATTTTATTTTCTCGGGAAAACTGATTCCGGAGCTACTTTTTCTTGTCGGTGTTACGGTGTATTTTAGTTGATATCTTCTTGTACTTTTCTCAGTTTTTTTCTGTTACCTATTGAGCTTTTAGTTCGGTCAGGTTGGTTTTTCTCTTCCTTTTATCTTCTGAAAACAGTCGGTTTCGTATTTTTTTGTTAAAATCTCGATCTCGAATGAATCAGCGTCTCTGTTCTATACAATAAGACTTTGAGGTGGTTCATCGATCATTTGGTCGGTTGATTCAAGGGTTTTCAGGTGGTTAAAGCTGGAAATTAGGTGGAAAAGAGGAGAGAGATTTGGTTTTGTTTGTTATGTTTGGATCCAGAAAAGAGTTTGTAATTGTACAGAATTGTTTGATTTGAGAGGAGAAGGCGAAACTTGATTCGAATTTTAGGGGGAATTCGATGTTGATTTGTGAAGAAGCAAGTTATAATTTATGAATATTGTGTGTGAGATTAATTGTGGGGAAGGTATAAAGCAGGTTTTGTTGAGCAAGTCGTCTAAGAATTGAAGTCGTGTTTGGCCAAAGGCAATAGGAAGGTGAAATTGATTAAAAGAAGATGGTTTCTGCAGCTATTGATGTGGAGGTATGCAATATTAAATTAAGAACCTTTTAATTTTTGCATAATTTCTTTTTAAGATGATTTGTTTATTTATCTTAGGGAACGCCATTGGTGGTTCACAGATCACTATCATTTCTTGTTTCTTGGTTAAATTTTGAAGCCAAGTTCCTTATTTTAATTCCAATTTTTGTCGGTTAAGTGTCACATATAGCTGTTACTTCTTTATTGGTTCATAATATATCTAAGATTCATCAGTTATGAGCTATGATATTGTGTAATAATTGTTGATCTTCAATAAAAGATTAAATTTGGTTAAATCATATAATAGTATGAGAAACATGAGTGTTGTGTAATAATTGTTGTGTTCTGATATTGTGTAATAATTGTTGATGTTCAATAAAAGATTAAATTTGGTTAAATTATATCATTATATGAGAAGAGTACACTCACACCGAACACTTTTTTTAATTGGCTGTTTATACCAAATACAACTAAGTGGAGCGCCACACTTCCTTATTTGTTGCATAATTGGCCAATTAAAAGAGTAGGTCTAGCAATTCAATGCAACTATTCGGTGCAAGAATCATTTCCCATATGAGAAACATGAGTATTGTGAACTGGAGTATGCCAAACAAGGGAGCAAGTTTGGATTGCGTGTGCTTGTCCACCAGACTTATTCTGGTATTGTCTTTACATAATAAGAAGTTCCATTCTATGCGTTTAACAAATGTTATAATACTGTGGAATGAAAGAGGCAGTCTTGAGAAAAAGAAAATTTGGAGGCTGCTTTCTGTTAGGTAGTTGGGTGGTGGTTCCCATTTCGGAAGCAAATTTTTTAGTAATGCAGCATATAACAATTGTGAAGGTTTCTTCCACAATTGTCTTGATTCCTTCCAAAACAAATGGGAAAATGCTCATCTTTGATTTATTTATCATTTCATTCCATTTACATTCTTTTTCTTCCTGTATGTGATCTTATGGTGCATCGATGGCGAAAACGAAAAACACAAAACGCACTGAACACACAGATTTATTGTGGTTAGGAAGTTAAGCGGTAGAACAATGTTCCATTATTTTGTTTGGGATAATATTGTGAGAAATGTTTATGAGTTCACAATTTTACTTGGAAATGTTAAACATGATGGTGAAAGAGAAATAAAAATTGCCAATCACAATCTTTTATAACCATTTTTAAGAATGTGCTGGAAAAATGATTACAGATGAAATTGAGAGGGGAAGAAGTTAATTATTGTATAGCCTGTTTCCATGCTAGATAAACGAGAATCATAATTTTGGAATTCGGCTATAATTTTAGGAATTCACTTCCTTTGCATTTAAATTGAATTGGAAGAAGACTATTTTACTTCAGCCAGAGGGAAGTTGTGTTTAATAAGAACTTCCCATAAAATCTCAGAAAACTGTTGGCACTGTTTGGAGAAACCACCTTTAACTTGTGTTCTCTGATTGGGAATTCTGGACATTTAGTGAAAGTTCAAAATTTTGTGAACTCTTCTCACTAGCATTTGTGTTCCTTCTGATTTAGGATGAAAGTAGAGGCACTTGGTCAAAAACTGTTTTCCTAACAGAGCAGTTTCCTTCAAGTAATGACTATGCTCCAAAGGTCTGTGCTTCTTTGAGCTGATTCTATTTCAAGAATGGATGATATCATTGATATGAGATTTTCATTTTTCCCATATTCATTCTTCTTTGTTGTGTTTTCTGTTTTTACAGGCAAGGAAGCCATACACGATTACAAAACAAAGAGAAAGGTGGACAGAAGAGGAGCATAAGAAGTTCCTTGAAGCTTTAAAGCTTTATGGTCGTGCTTGGCGACGGATAGAAGGTATATTTTTGGTTAATGTTGATGTTTCCTAGATCCTTATGCACCCTTCTTTGCTTCTAACTGCTGAGATGACTTCAATTTTCTACAGAGCACGTGGGTACCAAAACTACGGTTCAGATTAGGAGTCATGCTCAGAAGTTCTTCTCTAAGGTTTACTGCCCTCTTCCAGTACCCATTCTGTACAATTATATCTGTATCTCGTCTTTTAAAGTAAGTTAAATTATGACCCCAAGGCGTGCGAACGATCTCAAGGGTTTGCCCATTTCACAATTGCTTTTGTATTGATTCCTGTGTTTTAATGTGATTAGGTGGTACGTGAGAGTAGCAGTGATGCAAAAACCATTGAGATTCCTCCTCCTCGACCAAAAAGGAAACCCATGCATCCTTATCCTCGTAAATTTGCAACTGTAGTTAAAACTGAAACTGATGGATTGCTTCCAGAGCAATCCAGAAGGTCTTCATCTCCAAAGTCTGCAATTTCAGACCAAGAAAACCAATCTCCGACTTCAGTATTGTCTGCATTTGGTTCAGACACACTAGGTACAACAGATTCAAGTACACCAAATGGTTGCTTGTCAACGGTTTCATCTGCTGCCGGTGTCAACCCCTGTGGTTACTTACCTGAATCCAATCCATCTCCTGAAGAAAACAGATCTCTGTTGCCAGTCCAAGAGACTGCTAGTTCAGGCCTGGATTGCCAAGTCCCCGTGGTACTTGTTCTGTTAACGCTCAGCTATATGTTCCTTTGTAATACACTTGAATGATAAATTTTATGCATTGACTATGCTCTTGTTTATTTGTTTCATTGGTTCGTCTATGAAGAAGTTGGACTTATTTCCCCAGGAACTTGATTTTGTTAAAGAGGGTTTGGCTGAGGCAGCTTCTCAGCAGTGCCTGAAGCTCTTTGGGAAGACCGTCTTAATCGAGGATTCTGACAAACCATCTTCTCCAACCACGGGAACTTGCAAGTCACCATCTCCAGCCACGAGTGACGAGAGACCCGTACAAACAGTCCCGTGGAATTTAATACAGGCGGACTTCCCATCCGGTAAAAGTACATGGAGTCACTTACCGCATGGCGCACCTACAACATTCTATTACATACAAGAAAATCCTAATCCAGCAGAAACAAGTTCAGGATGTCGTCTGCCATGTTGGACTCTTTTTGGAGGCACACCATTTCCTTTCCTTCCATTGCATAACCCGGTTTCGATGAAAGCACATCCATCTGCTGATTTTAGGGAGATCCAAAGGGAAGGGTCTTGGACTAGTTCGAACCCTGAATCAGTAGCTGCAGGGAAAGATGGTGACACAAATTGGGAGAATGAGGCCCAGAGTCGCCGTCTTTCTTTTGATAAGGAGGAAGATGAGCAAATCTCGTTGTCCCTGTTTAAGCCAACTGAAAAAGCTGCCTTTGCAGGATTAAAAGCCAGCACTGATAGGTACAAGAAGGGGTTTGTACCATATAAGAGATGTTTAGCCGAGAGAGAGAGCCAGTTGTCGACAATAACTGGTGAAGAAAGGGAAGAGCAGAGAATCCGCCTTTGCTTATAATGGTTTCTGGGAAAGCCCTTCACTCCGATAGTGGTCTCCACTAGAATTCGTTTAGTGCAGCTTCCTATGATAACAGAGAGATTAATCAATAGGTTGAGGAATTGATTCAGGTGACCAACCGTAGCATTTTAGCTGCTGGATAACACAAAAGTGAATCTATGGTGGCTGGAAGTAGTCATTTTTGCAGCTTTGCAAAGTCTAATTCGGTCGTTGTCGTCTTCCTTCTTTACCGCTTTGTTTCTCTTCAACTGTTAGAATTTGATGTTCCACTATCTATGAAATGCTTCGTGTTTTTGTTGATTTTCAATCTTGACCTGTAAATTATGCAACTCTACTTCAATTTTGTCGTCTGGTGGCTCGAATTCTTTGGACTCGGTTTTGCACCTCTCTTTTGTCTCATTGTAAAACTATCTGATTCAAGGTTGTAGGGAACTTTTAGATTGAGAATTTGAGACACATAATTTACTTCTGAACAAGCATTACCAGTGTGACAACAGTTCTGGGCATGATTGTGAAGAAAGTTTCTTCATGTGTGTACCTTGGTGTCTTGGACTGAGAGATGGCTTTTGTGCCTGCTTTGACATTCAGATTCATCTCACTGTTCTAGAGCCGGAGAAGAATAGTTGTTTTGAGTTTGAAATTTAGTTTGGTTGGCAGTCTTTTGATCTTTTCACAATGATTTTTTATTTTTTTGGGAGAATTGTGTTTATTCTAAGCATTAGTTTTCTCCAAAAATTATTTCCTCTTTTAGATTCTTGTAAAGATCTAAACCGAACTATTCTTATGTTGTTTCTAGCAATCTTGATGGTCCTTTGGTTCCACATACATATGCATATAGGGTTAGTTCTTAAGTTCAGTTCCGCTGTCAAGTTGGTTGAGTGCACGATGTTCGTGTCAGTGTCATTGTTAGCTGCCGGTTGTTTGTTAGAATGTTAGATCGGTGAAAGTTTGAAAACGCAATGTTCTTGTCACTGTTAGATTGGTGAAAGTTTGAGTACACAATGTTCTTGTCACTGTAGTGTTAGACAAATGTATGCAATCTTACTTTTGCATTTTTATACACACATTGTATGATTTAGGAGTCTTTAACTAAAAAAAATATGAAAGTTTTTTCTGTCATCGCATGTGAAAGTTATTGGCTATAAAATATATGTGTGTGTGTGTGTGTGTGAAAGTTAGGTTGGTTTTATTAGAAGCGGACTGACTGTTGGTTTGGGGTGGTACTGAGGAATGGAGCTCACAGGAAGCGTGAGCAGATCCGATTTTGATCCCAACTTTTTCAGATCAGAGTTGCTCCAAAATGGTTGAGAACTTATCTAGGGTGACAAATTTCCTCATTTATATATGTTATTCGGATGATAGGATTCGGTTTTTGGAGTGGGTACGTCCGTGTTCTAACCTAGTTCCACTAGTTTGTCGGATAAAAATAAATAAAAAATTTGACAAATATCTCCGGAGCATAGGCTGTGGCATAGAGCATAGGCTGTGGCATAGAAAAGTTGTAGATAAGAGTGTGAATTCTGAGCACTCAAGTCTCTCTTGCATGTGACAGTTTTGGTTGGCTGTCACGCACAGAATCGTCGGTTTATGCGGGTGTTGGTATATGGTAATTGGTTGCACTATAGTGATTAAGACTCTAAAACAGAACTCATTTAAAAAATTTATAGTAGGCTTTTTTTTTTTTTGTTTTTTTTTTTTTTTGTTGTTGTTGTGGTAGTGGTTTTGCATATAAAATTGGGAAGGAAAAAACAAGAGAGTAGTTTTGGATACCATTAATTTCGTAATGAGAAGATAGCAAAGAATAAAAAGAACAAAACAAAGAAAGGGCAAAACATTAATTTACTTCTTATAAATTATTAGTATTAACTTATATTTCTAACCAATTTTTATTTATTTATTTTTGTTTGAAGAAAACAAATTCATTTTCATTTCCTATTTGTCTCTCTTTCCCTCAGTTGTAAAAACAAACACGGTATAACCTTTTGATCCTTATTTTTTCATTTTCTCAGTTTTTATTGTACTTCTAAATTCTAATACCATTTTATAAAAAATTTTAAAAGTGGAAAAAAAAATGGGGCCAAAAGGGAAGAGATTCAAACAACTAAAGTTGACTTTTATGGGATATTATAACTCCCGGAAGGAGTGTGCCGAGTCCACCTCCCTTTAGTTTGTGAGGGAAAAAAAGAAGAAGTTATATATGTGTGTAAAGAATAATAATGTTAATCACTTGTTGTTTTGGTTAATTAATGATAGAAAAGAAAAGAAACAATAATAATCATATTTAGAAAAAAAAAAAAAAAAACTATTTCAATTAATTTACTACCACACTTATAAATTTTGCCTTAAACAAATTTACTATTAACAAAGTTTTATTAAAGATGCTAACGTTTTCTTCTTTTTCCATTCCATACAAGAAAACCAACTCATAAGTGACTTATCCCTCCCAATCCTTCTATTACCTTCTTTTCCTGCCAAAATTTTGAACCAAGCACAAAATAAAAGGACTGGTTTGGTAATCATAATTGCTTTGTACTTTCGTTTTGACTCGAAATAGAAATAATGTTTCTGTTTTAAAGTGTATTTAACACTATTTAGAAACTTGTTTGATAACATAAATTTGTTGTAATTTTTTTTTTTTTTAAATATGAAAATATGTTTCGTAAAAAATGTTGCAAATTTGAAAAGCTAGTTAAAAATGTTATTTTAGTTCAAAAAAAATAATTATAATTTTTTTGGGCAGTGTTTTGCTACAATACCAAAGTAAATAAAAGCATCATTTTAATATTTTCGATTTTAACCTTAATTTTGAAAACGTTTCGATACTATTCAAATGACATCAAACATTACCAAATATACTTTGTGCTTTTGTTTACATTAGCAAAAATAAAAGATGCAAAGCAAAAGTATTAACCAAACTAGCCCTAATTTTTTTTTTTCTTCCATTTTATTTCCAACCAAACAGCCCTTAGTATAGAAAGAAGAAAGAAGAAAATCTATCAAAATATAAATCGAATTATAAAGTATGACCAAAAATTTTAAGGCTCTTAGATTATTATAAAACTCTAATTATTTTACTATTACTGAATTATTATTATTTTTTTTTTGCAGATCACACATTTGTAAGAATTAGAAATGTCAAAAACTTTCTAGACAATTAAAATTTTACTATAGGCATCACGGAAGTCAGAGCACACACTCAACCCAACAGAGCCAAATATTTCACCTTTTGCGTGGAAATGGCGCTAGTCAATCTCAATTTCCGTGGGGGCACTTCATATTCGCCAGCATATTCTCCTCTCTCTCTCTCTCTCTCTCTCTCTCACACACACACACACACAAACACACAGTTTTTGTAAATTTCAAAGCCTAAAATTCCGTTGGCTATCACGTAGATTATGTGCCATCTGTTTGCTTTCTCCGCCGTATTCACATTTATCCTTCATAAGCTACACAATACACACATATATATATATGCACACAAGCATATATACACGCATACAGACACACACTCTCTCACCATCACATTTATATAAATAATTCCATTGATATCACGTAGATTATGTGCCATCTGTTTGCTTTCTCCACCATATTCACATTTATCCTTCATAAGCTACACAATACACACACACACACATATATATATATATATATATATGCACACAAGCATATATACACGCATACAGACACACACTCTCTCACCATCACATTTATATAAATAATTCCAAACATTATCACCACCTCCTCACAACTCTTCACTCCCAACCTTCCAATCTCTCTCTGTCCTTTCTCTCTCTAGATCGAATCTGTAATATTCGTCCTCCATTTTCTCTATCTATCTCTGTAGATCGGTGCTCTGTATTAGTCTCCAATGGCTACTGCTACTCTGAGCCCTGCGGATACCGAGAAGCTGTCTAAGCTTCAATCTGCTGTCGCTGGCCTCAACCAAATCAGGCGAGTGTTCTCAATTTTTCTCATTTTTGATTCGTTCACGAGTACTCTACGGATTTGATGTTTTTCTCAAATTTTCTCAATTTTGATTCGTTCACAAGTATTCTACTGATTTGATGTTTCAAATTTCGTTTCCTTTTGTCGAACTTGAGTGATTGAATCGCAGATCTGACTTTGAATCTCTGGCTAAACTAGTTTCGTGTTCGAATTTGCAGCGAGAATGAGAAATCTGGATTCATTAACCTCGTCTCTCGCTATCTCAGGTACAATTGCGATTCATGATTGTTTTTGTTAACTATTACTGATCAGTGTGTGTATATGGATATGTTGAGATCTAATTTTCACAAAATTGTGGTTTTTATTTTTATTTTTTAATTCATTGAAGTGGCGAAGCGCAACATGTCGACTGGAGTAAAATCCAAACCCCTACTGATAAGATTGTCGTTCCTTATGACACTTTAGCACCGACACCGGAAGGTAATTGTTTGAATATTATATGGTTCTAATTAATTTAATTATCTGCGACAAATTTGCCCATTCGATTGCTCTCTTTAGGTAGGATATAATCATCTCAATTTTTGCAGATCCTGCCGAAACCAAGAAGCTTTTGGACAAACTTGTGGTGTTAAAGCTTAATGGAGGATTGGGGACAACTATGGGCTGTACTGGTCCTAAGTATGCATTTACCTTCTTTTTTATTATTATTTTAACTAATCCTGGCCTTATTGTACAACTGAATCATATGAATCCTTAACAAATGTCTCCTAATGATTTATGAGATGCCTTGCACTAGTTCCATTTGGGAGAAGATCTTTGTCTCGGCTCTGTTCTTAAGATTTTACCCACCATAAAAGAAGTTTCCTCTTGATGTTTGATGTTTTTTTTTTTGCTATGTGATTGTGGCAGATGCATGGAACCCCAGATTCAATTCATAGGTTTTAAAATATTTATCTTTTATATAATTTTCCCCTTCCCAGCATTTGCCTTTCAGTGGAAGTAGCAGTATTCTTTGCTGAGATATTAGTCAGGCCACTTTCATAATGGTTCATAATGGGAGTGCTGCAAACTCCACACAATAAGAGTGTAACTTCATCCTTCATTTCCTCGATTCTTGAATTTAACCTGAGAATTTCTTATGATCCCCAGGCAACTGTCATTCATACATGAATCCATGTATTCAAGTCCCTTGTAGTATAGGTCCCTTTGATTATACTATTTAAGTTTTCTTTCCCATCGGGCTCATTTGGCTACCAGCTGAGGAAGCATGATATTTATTAAAGACCTTAGAATGGTACTTTGTTAAATAATGTTCATGTTAGAGGAGCATAGGTCCATCCTTTCTCAATTGGACTTGTTACTTTACCTTGTCATGTGACACCTGGACACCTCATGCCCGTCATCCATAAATAATTCCATGTCATATATGATTCCGTTTGTCAATTTGCGATTCTTTCTTAAACCAGATCTTTGAACATTTCAATTTTCTAAAGATTTCACGTTAGGAAGATGTTAATTTTTTTATAAACGTCACTGGTCTATCTTTGTCCTGGTGACTTTGTGTCTCAACTTTCTAGTCCTAAATCAAGGTTTCAAGACTGGTAGAAAAGAGGGGGAAAATAATATTTATAAACATCTACTCAAGAATGCTGAATAATTCACGATTCTATGAACAAAGACTATTTTATCTTCTGATAACCAAATATTGCTGGTATGCTAATTTGTAATTTCTTATAAAAAAAAGGTGCACACAATAATCAATATTTAACTTCTCGACAGCATATAATACACTGTTCAAGTTTTCATATATTATTTAACGTTTGCCTGCCATGATTCTCCATGTACCTTACTTCTTACATTAGTATTTTTGTGATGCAGGTCCGTTATCGAAGTCCGTAATGGTTTGACATTCCTGGACTTGATTGTCATCCAAATTGAGGTCTCTTTTATATTATAGTAGATATCTTTTACTTATCTGGTTAGCATTTTTGTTATACCTTCTTTCCTGAAAGTTGCAACTGATCCTTTGATTCATGTATAGTCACTCAATTCCAAGTATGGATGCAATGTTCCTCTGCTTCTAATGAACTCATTCAACACGCACGATGATACACAGAAGGTGAATGATATTTGCATTTACCTTTTAAAGTTCTCAGATCTTAGTAGAGTACTGACTTGCAATTTTCAATGTAGATTGTGGAAAAATATACCAAATCAAACATTCAGATTCATACATTTAATCAGGTTTGTAAATCGTTTATGTGATCACTTGTTTTATTATCCACTTCTGGTATTTCTTGGATTCTAAAAATTTGAATCTCATCTTCATTCTTTGATTTACACAGAGTCAGTACCCTCGTTTGGTTGTTGAAGATTTTATGCCTTGGCCGTGCAAAGGAAATACTACCAAGGATGGATGGTACTATATAATTTTTCTTTCGATTGTTTTGTCTGTTGACCAGTATATTAATTTTTATGCTGTTAGAATACTAGAATCAGTTGAACTCAAACAGATGGTGTTACCATGTGACTTCTAACTTTTTGCTCTTCTATGTCCTTTCTAAATAATGAAGTGATTATCTGTTTGTCTCCTTTCTTGCTTGCCTGATTTTGTTTAGATTTACTTTTAAAATTCTTTCAGCTAAATTTATCCTATTGTTCAAAAAGAAGATTTGGACGTCTCGTTGTTTGCATTTACATGGATAAATACATTCTTCATTATTATATTTCATTTCTGATGACGAGAATTGAGGTTACTGCTATTAAAGTGTCCTGTCATATTTGCTAAATTCACCTTATGAATACTGTTCATGTCCTGTCATATTCTTAAATTCACCTTATGAATACTGTTTTCATGTGAAGGTATCCTCCTGGACATGGTGATGTGTTCCCATCCTTGATGAATAGTGGCAAGCTCGATGCATTATTATCACAGGTTATTTTTTCTTTATGTTCCAGTTCATTGTTCTCCAAATTTGTTTTTATGTGTTTCTGTTATATTATTTAATTTATTATTAATCCTTCCTTTTCATCCTTTCACAGGGCAAGGAATACATCTTTGTTGCCAACTCAGATAACTTGGGTGCTATCGTTGATTTAAGTATCCTTATTATGATTCTTAAATTACTGGTTCTTACCTCCTATATTGCTGCTGCTTATAATGGTCAAGTCAGTTGCTTTGTTATGTTCCTTAATTCAGTGTTACAGAAATTTTAAACCATTTGATTCAGAACAAGAACGAGTACTGTATGGAGGTGCTCACAAGAGATTGTTGTAAATTAGATCTTTTTTTTCTTCAGAATTTTTTTCTATAACTTTATTATGCTTTTGAAGGTTACACCAAAGACATTGGCTGATGTGAAAGGTGGCACTCTGATTTCTTATGATGGGAAGGTTCAGGTATGTAAAATATATTTTCATGATACTGAAATATCGTTAATGTAATTCTGCCTCTGTCAGAGATGGGGATAGTGAAGGTAGACATAAAACATGTCAGAAGACGGTCTAATTCTTCCAATTGCATTTGATCTTCCAAATTTAAGATATATACAGCTTTATATGGCCTTCTAACCTTTCCCAACCTATTCCTTTGTTGCGTCTTGCATTGCCCTGATTTAATGGAAATAATCTATAAGAAGGCTGAGGTGATGATGGAATGGATTTGAACCAAATCAAAGCTGAATTGATCGAATCAGATAACAAAATACCAAGATCTAATCTGATGACAAAAAAAACTTGTGTTTAGTTTCATAAATTTATTTCTCAATATATTTTGTGTTAAATAATACGCATAAACACAAACCCTTTGTGCTGAAGTATTGTGTTATATAATTTTCTAGGAAGCCAACAGTGGTGGCATCAAAATTAATTTTTTTAAAAAAAAATTTCCCCTATATATGTTGGATAAATGCACCCATGTCCGTTGCGGAACTTCAACCCTACAAATGGTGGTCTGTGGTTAATTGACTTAAATATTCCTCTCATATATATATATATATATATATATATATATATATATAATTGAATACATTTGGGTTTTACACTTTTACGTGATCTTTTCCTAGATTAGTTTCTCATTCATATCCAGTTAAGCTTTTTCAACCTGGAAATAATGAGTTCTATTTCACTGTTCTGTAAACTAACTGTCTGCATTTATACTGTATAGAGTTGCTTAATAATGTTTTCCTTGCCTTTGTGTATTGCAGCTCCTAGAAATTGCACAAGTTCCTGATGAACACGTGAGTTCCAGTTCTATTATTTTGCTTCCTTTGTTTTTACTTTTTATTTTGTGGTCTTCCTTGTTTTTCACTCTACATGCATCTGCACTGGCCACTTTATTATGTGTCAGCATAACTCAGCACTAGGTTTCCACCCGTTCTTTTCTGAAATTATATAGATATACACACCATAACTGAATAGCAGGAGAACATAGGTAAATCCTATTACATTTATTGACTAATCATTATTACTGGAAAGGCTGCCACTACTGCCAGAGCAGAATTAGCTATTAACAGAAGTGCTTGTGTACGGTTGTACTTGTGCCAACTGCTTCTGCAGTTCTACCAATTAATTTATGGATAGCCGATATCACCTTGGAAATAGAGACATCAATTGTTTCTTTTCTTTCAATCCATCCCATGATTTGAATGAGTAGCAAATACGACCTGTTTCTTTTTCCTTGACTAAGTTGGGGCGAGTTTATGGAATTTCCTGACTCACCATTATTAGTTAGTAATTATTACCAGCTGAATAATTTTTGTACCAACCTGTGGATAACGGTATCTGATATTGGATTTTAATAGCAAGTAAAATTATGATTTTGGCCACGATCGAGAACAGAGGGACCTAATTTGCCAGAATGTGAAGTTAGAGTGAGAGTGTTCAATTCTGCAAGACCTCATGATATCATCAGGGCAGCACATGTATAAGTTGGGGCTTGTCATTCAAAACTTAGGTGTTGATAACTTGATAGTTTAACCATCGCGGAACATTGACCAAGTCCCAGCTTTCGGGTGCTCTAAGAGGCCTAACACCACCATCGTCGACAAAAAAGAGGGAAAAAAAAAGAAAGAAAGAAGAAGAAGCCCCAGCTTTGACCATAGTTTGAATCATATTACAACTAGTTTAAGGTTGATGTTTGAGCTTTTTGATTCATCCAGGTCAATGAATTCAAGTCAATAGAGAAGTTCAAAATTTTCAACACCAACAACTTGTAAGTCATACTTACCGAAAGAAACAACTTCAAGTCATGGCGTTTTACATGTAAAAGTATAATGGTTGGATATTCACACCATTGTTGTTCTAGGTGGGTGAACCTGAAGGCAATTAAAAGACTTGTAGAAGCAAATGCACTCAAGATGGAGATTATTCCAAACCCCAAGGTATTCATTCGTTTCCTTGATATTGTTCACACTCCAACAAGCTGGTTTTCATGTTCCGATGATGAAGTTAATCTGGTTTTCAGGAAGTGGATGGGGTCAAAGTTCTTCAGCTGGAAACAGCAGCTGGTGCTGCAATTAAGGTGTGCACTACACTCATCAATCAACTCTCTATTCCTTTCCTTTCACTTTTGTAGTACAGTGTTTTTTTAGTCTCTATAATGTGATCTTTTGCAATCCAGTTTTTCGATAATGCTATTGGTATCAATGTTCCTCGATCACGTTTTCTTCCCGTGAAAGCATCCTCAGATTTGCTTCTTGTCCAGGTTAACCTTCTCTCTGAAATCATTTTAGGAGTTTGTGCATTTTGTGCTCATTTGAGGGTTGGTTAACACATCCATATGATGTTTACAGTCTGATCTTTACACCTTAGAAGATGGCTTTGTGAACCGAAATAAAGCAAGGACAAATCCTGAAAATCCTACCATCGAATTGGGACCTGAGTTTAAAAAGGTCAAGATTAATTCCGGAAAGTTGATTTTTTGTTTCGGTGCAACTTTCAAATTATGTTGCTGATTAAATTTTTTTTTTTTACCAGGTTGCTAACTTCTTAAGCCGTTTCAAGACCATCCCCAGTATTATTGAGCTTGATAGCTTGAAGGTGACTGGTGATGTCTATTTTGGAGCCAACATTGTTCTCAAGGTATTAATCATGTTTGATCGCATTTCTTCACCCCATTTCACGATTAACTGTGACATCCCGATAAATGTGTACTTGTTAACTTTTTAATTAACTCTTTCTTGAACTTGCTATAATTCCTCCAGGGGAAAGTGGTGGTTAATGCCAAATCTGGAGTTAAACTGGAGATCCCTGATGGAGCTGTACTCGCGAACAAGGTGACACACCGGATTTATTTATTTTTGTAAGTTTTTGTATAAAAACAAGCCGAATTCAATATTTTGGCTTACATTGTCGTATCTCGTTGTCCAGGAAATTAATGGCCCGGAGGATATTTGAGAAAGTTGCTCACTTCAACTACCGGTGGAGAGGCTACCAGTAGTAGTCTTTTGAGTACTGTTTTGGTTGTAATGTCCATGTAAGGTTTGATATAGAAAATAAATGAACCATTTCTGTTTGAAGCCAATGGCAATTAGAACGTTTGCGGATTAACACAGACTTTTTATTATCAATGAGAGTTTCGTTTTCGTATTGAATAATACACATCGTGTAGCCTCCCCCAATCAAGTTAGATGACTCCACCAAAAGAACTTAGTAGCTCGATACCAATGACTATGGTGAAGTAGGTGGTGGTAAAGAAGTGTCCGAGTTTATGATATCGGTGTATTACTCAAGGTTTTGGAAATTTTCAAATTTATTATGTTTCCATGAGAAACAAAAAATCCATGTTTGTTTGGTTTGATGTTATGTTACTGTTTCAAAGTGGATGTTATTTTCAGTGCTAAGCTTTATGTTTGTTTGGTCTACTGCAATTCTGTCCAGAATGGTCGAATAGCGTATTAGTATTGTTAGAACGGAATGGGAAGTCTAGGTCAAGACTCAAGAATCAAGATCCTGTCCTTCCTTGGGCTGTTTGGGTCCCGGGAAAATCAGAAGGTATCCAAAAAAAGGGGAAAATGTTATCGATCCTGTCTTTCCTTGGAATTATTATTGACATAAGACAAACTTTTTAATTTATTCAACAACTTATTTTGACTACCAAAAAGTCAAAAACCGTTAAAAGCTATGCGCCAATTTTCTATTTCCCATCCCGGCTCTCTCTTCTTTACTTGTTCTTCTAAAAATGATGAAAGACCAAGAAGAAGAGAAACGAAAACATTTTTCGAGATTGCCTAGGGTAATTAATTAATTAATTGACCATGGTGCTTTTAATAGACACCTATGTGGTGTGGGACACGCACACCTATGTAGTATGGAACAAGGACATGCCAATTTTTTGGAAAGTAGGACGCAAGTAAGGTTTGTATTCGCTATATATAAATATAAATTTTTATTTATATACATGTGTTGAGTAATAATATTATAAAATTATAATTCATTTCTAATTTTATATTAATAGTTCTTAATGATATATATATATATATATATATATATATATATATATGTTATTGCACTACTTTATCATAATAGTGTTTTTATTTTAAATAAACAAATCATTTAATGCTTCGCTTTTGAGATGTGTATAATGTCGATTTTTATTAAAGAAAAAAGTTGAATATTTTAGAATGTGTTCATATTATTTTTAAGATTATCGGTAGATTTGTATTATAAATATTTAAAAGTGTGTTTGGAAGTGTCGGGGAAGTGTCCAAAATAATAAAAATTTATTTTTATTCATGGACAAGTGTCTAAGGTTTTCCAACGAGTGTCAGTGTCCGATACACGACTTGGATACGGCTCCTTCGTAGAAGTGTCCGTGCCTTATAGATAGACACTCGGTGAGAAAATAAAAGAGTAGATTATATAATTTGGACACATACATCCAAGACCTAGAGATAAGAGAAGATGCCATATAAAGTAAAGGGAAAAAGAGTAATGATGTCATTATAATTGTAAAAGATATTAATGACATCATGATGTCAATTCTCATTCACATAAATTGAAATTGTCCCACTTTCAGACTCCTAACAAATCCGTCAATTTTATGTGAGTAGAGGGGCTAGAGGCTGATGGAATGAAATCTTGCCTACATTCAAGTTGGGGGGGAGGGGGTTTTAGGTTAAATGCCACATGCTACTGTCCACTGTATTCTCGTTTGGGGGTTGGGAGTTTCAGATTCAGAATCCACCACCCTACAAGGAAGGAGACATAAAACTACATTGTAGTTCTACTATAACTACATATTCCATCAATGATCACAAAGTCATTCGATCAGAATTCTTTACGAAAATACCAAATAGAGAAAAACATGCTGCAATCTTCTTTATCACCATTCCATGTAACTTTCTTATATATTCATATACAATGAATTAAAAGTCAATGCTGTTTTAAACCATTCCATGTAACTTTCTTATCAATCAAAATCCCTATAATTAGAAGACACAGCAGTACCACAGACAGTGAACACATCCCAGGTCAAGCATATTTAGAGCAAGTCAAAGCGGCCTTGATTTTCTGAATGTGGGAGCAGACGAGAGCTTTGACATCGGCAATGGAACTGCCCCCGTCGACCTGTATATGGAAAGCCATTGTGAGAAGTGAACCACCAGATTTGCTGCTACTTGTACTGGTTGAAGCTCCGGTTCCTTTGTCAGAACCGCCATCACCAGATCTGACGAACCCTGATGGAAATATGGGCGTCCTCACACCTCTTATAGCTGCCTTGATGGTTTCAGAATCTATGGGGGCATATGGTATTAGTGATCCCAAAGGGTCAACCCAGCTCTCTTAAAGCATCAACGTCGTCTTCTTCTCTCCGGAGAAAAAAGTCTGCTACAAATCAACCACTGAATTATAAATTTCTTGCTCCCAAGAGCTTCAAATGAAATTTTTTCATTCTGGGGTTAAATAGGTAGGAGCATAAACTGAAACATTCTGGAATTACAAAAAGATGATCACTAAATCGTTAGTGCTGCATAAAAAAATTACTCCGAGTGTAGTTACTAATATGAATAAGAGACTCTCTGTCAAGCATTATCGCCAGAGCAAGCTATTTTTCTTTTGTGGCTACCTCAAAGAGTGTTCAACAAGCTGGCTTAAATTTTACATGTAAGCAACCAACCCACTCTGGAAATGACATTGTCTGGTCTTTTTGGTAGCATAAATAAGCATTCATTTTCACTAATTATTATTAGGAGATTGCTCTTGGAATTTCATAAATGACCTCTTCGACTAAGTCCTATTAACAAAAATTAGATGGACATTTCATTAATATGTGATTTTACATGCTCCATACAGTAATAAAGCTTGAAAGAAATGACCTCAATAATGGATACATTATTCCCAGGATGAGCTCCGGTTGACATGTTTGCAATCCGATGCACTGGATTTCCATTGCAGTGCACATCCCACAGTAAAACAAATGGAAATAAATCGTAATTGTTAATGCCTGTTATCAAGACTAATTCCCTAATGGTCTCAATATAATAATCACATTTTAAAAAAAAAAAAAAAATTTGGTTAAGGAACCTGATTTCGGGTTTTCACTTCTCTAAAGAAGTTAAAGAGAGTGTCACAAGAGATAGGAAGCCACAGAGATGCAGCAGCACTGATAACCATGCCACTACGAATGCAGAGTCGAAAATTATTGTTCATTTCTGATAATGGAGGGATATCCCTTGTTCTTGGAATGAACAAGCTTGCGCAGAAAAACTAAACCATTCTGTGGGAAAGAATCATCGCCGCTTTTCTAACTGGACAACAAACATTGAACGAGTATAAAAATTTAAAGAATATTAACCAAAGCTCCTCTGAAGAATACCTTGTTGGAAAAGAGTACCTTGTTGAGTAAGTGCTCTTTCCCTCAGCAAGTATGTGTATTTCTCAAGGCTCCTCTGAAGAGTTATAACCCATCGCTGTGCTCCGTATGCTAAAGAATTACATACTAAATCTCTAAATAGATGATGAGTTTGGGACTTATCGTCCACTTCCACACGTTCTACCCAAGTAACCTATCAAATTAAGAATTTGGTGTCAATATTTAATCTGATACCAGAGGCACCTTTCTGCCGGGAAAGTTAGAAAGAGGGACGTGTAGAAGGTTATTGGACAAGTATGTAAGAACTCAAGTTTATGACAAGTATGAATGAGTCACATTAGAGCCTAATATTGGGAAGGCACCATATATTTGCTGTTGGATGAAGCGACATTGTGAACGTACGAGATGAAAGAGGCATGCATAGATAACCAGCCTTATTTTAGGCAAATAACAATGGAGCTGTTTGTATCCATTTTCAAGTCCCCTTTTTGGTGGTTTACCCGATCCCCCTGCATCTAGCACAGCTTGAACCATGCCAGCGCCCAGTGCTATGGGGATGTGCAGCAGATATGATTAGTCTAATTAGCCAGTGGTAGATTAACTACGATTCTGATGACCCTCATCATCAATTAATAGTCAACTCAATTAATGGACAAAGAAGGAATCTACTAATAATACCACAACTCAACAGAGAATGTAGGATGTCTTTCATCTATATATATATATATATGTATATATATATTTTTTTTCTATAATAAAAAGTAGGAGAGACAACACAGTACGTAGTCTAGAAATCAAGTCCCAACTTGTGTCACAGGAAGTATGAATCTACTAATGAAAGCATTTTCATGTCTAGATTCTATTTGTAGCATAGGCAAGAATAACGAAAGTGATTACAGAGACCTCACTTTTGAGTATCCATTGGGCATATTTCGAATCATGCAACCAGATGGAAGCCTCCAAGAGCGAAACGGGGAGGCTTGAATTTTATGTCTGGAGCAATCGTAGGACACGTCCCCCACAACCCACGAACCTGGCTCTAGTTGTTGACAAAATCGGAGGAATAAGAATTCTCGAGGTGCCACAAGAGGTGATAAAATATGCATTTGGCCATACATCTGCATCAATGGGTCATTTGACTCAGTTAAGCTTTTTCATAACCAAAATTTCAGATTAAAACAGAAAAAGAAAAACAACTTCATGGCTAGGCTATGTACCAGCTGCAATTTAAGGAAATCACCCTGGTTTCCTAACATTCCAGTATCAATTACTTCAATTGTCCTTGCTGTTCTAACAATTGTGGGGAAAAAATTCATCCATTTCTCCTGCAGAAATTAAACTGTTAGTTCAAATGGTATGAGCTTAATTCAAATCATGGGATAAAAAGAGAGTATAAGAGCTAACTGAATGAAGTAACATGTTGACCAACTGGCTTCCAGCCATCTTCAATTCACACGAACACTTTGATGACTCGATCAGAGCACTGGAACTTTTCAAGTGACTAACTCTGGGGAAAAGCTTGTCATGGACCTCACAGTTAAGAACATATACCACCCCAGCTATCGGAGACTTGATCCACATGGGCTCATTGACATGCAAAAGCCATTTCAATTCATCCCTGGCTCTGCCAGCAGTCTCAATTATAAGTGACTTTTCGATGTATGGCAGCATAGGATTGCCCAACGCATGGGAAAGGCCTTTCACTCCCAGTTCTGAGGACAATCTTTCACGCTGCAACACATACCACGACAAGCATCAAATAAAATAGACCATTAAGAACAAAATTTAAATAGAATAGAAAAAGAGGGTTCATGTGGCCAACCCTATTCATATGTGGCCAACCCTATTCATATGGGAGGATGAGGACGGCGATGAAAAACAAAATTTGAACATACCAAACTAAACATTCAAGAATCAGAACAAACCTCTAGTTTCAGTTGCTCATTTTGCATCTTTATTTGCTCTAGTCTATATTAAAATAAACAATCAAGAATCAGAACCAGAAGGTACACGAAAAAATTTGGTTTCTAGCATAACCGAAACAAACTAGAAATTTTAAACCTTTAATATAACAATCAAAATACTCTAATCAGAATATAAAGAAAATCAAATAAAAGATAATAATTCCCAGAACATGCATCTCAATCATAAGTAGAAATTTTGTCAAGCACTAAGCATGCATAAAGAAAGAGATAAAAGATCGTTCAATCAACAAATTACATCGTGAAATTTACACACACAAACACACACACACACATATATATACATACACAAACACAGAAAGATATGAATTGATGGTGGGCTTACTCTATAAGCTTCTGAATCTCTTGAGCACTATAGTGATGGCATGGCTTCTTGCGCTTCCTTGAATATAAGCCGCCTTCGTCATCAGAAGATCCATTTCCTCCACACACCAAATTCAAATCTATATGATGGCATGGCTTCTTGCGCTTCCTTGAATCAGAGCTTTCTTTCTCATCAGAAGACCCATTTCCTCCATACACCATATTCGAATCTATGTATTTATCCATGAAGATAAATCAAGAATCGTGCTTTAACGCTCAGAGAGAGAAACAGAGTACGAAGAATTGTTTCTTGAAACCCCTTTTTTGACACCCAGAGAGAGATGTGTTGGTTCAGAAGATGAAAAAAAATTGGTTCATATATATAAGCCTATAAGGTTTAGTGAGGTATGCAGAAGATTGAAATGGGTTTTGTGGAGTCGTAGAGATTTTTTTATTTCGCTGCACTTCTCTTTCACATCCTATTATAGGACGATTGAAAACTTATTTTTTTGAACTTTTTAAATGATTTTGACAAATGGGTCATGGTCCCATGGAGCATTGCCTTTGTGGGTCCACTTGAAAATACAGTTACTCCGTATATAAATAAAAGAAATATATAGATATATATATATATATATATATATATATATATATATATAAAATTTTAACCCTGACTCTTTCCGGATAATTACAATAGGGGCTTGCCCTCTAATTTTAACATCGGCCTCTCTTTTAATTGTGGTTTGAGTAACACTGATGTCCTTCTTGTAATTGTGGTATGAGTAATACTGATGTCCTTATTATAAGATCTGATTTAATAAGTATAAAATAAATATTCAATGAACTCGGTGCATTAGTTTAATTTAAGTCGTTTGTGATACGTGCACACGACTTAAATTAGTTAAGTGCACCGAATATCTACTCGAAACACATACATTTTTATAGACATTATGTTAGACAATGACACTTCCTAGATACTCTTGAACGATACTTTAAAAATAAAGCACTTAATTGTTACTGTTCCAAAGTAAGAGTCCATATACTCATAGGGGTGTACAAAAAAACACGTTAGGAGTGGCAAAAAGGGTACCGAATCGTCGCTTCGGTCCAATTGTGATTTTGATCGCAAAATAAGACCAGTAGTATTATTGAATAATGCATATCATGTAGCCTCCCCCTATCAAGTCAAATCAGATGACTTCCACCAAACTTTAGTAACTCGATACAGTAAACTTCACTTAAATTTAATTACTAAATGGATACGCTAAAGAAGTATCCAAGTTCATGATATCAAAGAAAATCACAAAAACCAAAAACCCCTCCACTAAAATTAAACACTCTTTTAAATTAAAAAAATATTATCAAGTTGCCTCCAAATTCATGTAAAATGATAAAGTTATATTTATTATTTAAAATATTAAATTAAAAACTAATAGTTATTATTGTAAAATTACAAGACTACCCGAATCTTCTTCCTCAACACCCTCTTTCTAAAACCCCGGCCATCACCGCCTCTTCTTAACCGGTCCACCACCACAAACAAAGGATATTGAAGGGGTTTTTCTTCTACATCAAAGGATATTGCATGGCCTCAACACCCTTTTCTTATTTCTCTGTTTGTTTACCGCTATTTGCAAAGAAGATGATCGAGTCGATCAGTATAAAGACCCTGATGTAGAATAAACAGAGAAACAATGTTGCCTAGGGTTTATTCCTAGGGTTTATTTGCATAATGTTGCCAATTTCGGTCGGATTTCCAGCATTGCTGCTGTCGAGATCCACCAAACTGTTCATCACGAATCCTCATTGAGCGAGTTTCCAACCCACCTGCTACAGAGCATCGGTGTTGTCCGGCTGAGGCGGGCCAATTCCGGTGAGATGGAATTGGGTCTTCAATCGGAGTTTTTGTTCGAAGCTTTCGTCGGGGTCAATGGACCCTGCTGTCTATCAATGTCTTCACACGGATTGGGTCTTCATGGTGTTCACGGTTTGGTAAGTTGGAACTCACCGGAGCTATATATATATGAATGGTGTTCTGCCCGTGCAATCGGAACTGAAACTCAGGCTCGCCGGTTTAGTCGCTGCAATGGGTTGTGTTGGGGAGGTTACCGTGGGTTTGGATTGAGACTAGGAGGGCGGCGAGGCTGAGGATCCAGCGGCAGCGGCAACATCACCTATGCTTAGTCTTCCGGCGGCTATAGCTCTAATAGCGGCGATAGTTCTCCGGTGGCGGATAACGGTTGAGGAAGTAGAAAGGGAGGGTGTTGAGGAAGAAGATTAGGGTAGTTTTGTAAATTTACAAAAATAACTATTAGTTTTTAATTTAACATTAATTTATAAGGATAATTTTACCATTTCACATGGGTTCAGGGATTGTTTAATTTTAGTGGATTTTTTTTTCACCGATTAGATAGTAGAGTGGAGTTTTGTGATTTTACCCTATCAAAAGTATTGCTGAGGTCTTAGAAATTTTCAAATTTATAATGTTTCCATGAGAAACAAAAATTCCCAATTTGCTTTGGTTTGACGTTAAGTTATTGTTTCAAAAGTAGATGTTATTTTCAGTGGGATAAGTGCAGAAAACACTCTTAAAATATACTTTGTGTAATATTTTTATCCTCTATTTAAAAAAGTGTGCAAAAAACACTTATAATCTTTTCATATTGTACAAAAACATCCCCTTTGACATAAATTAGTATTGTAATACCCGTTTTGCCTTTTTACTCTTCCTAAAATGACCAGGGTATATATGCTACAAATCTCATAGTATAAGGGTGCTATGTATGCATTACCTTGTATTTTTTTAAAACTTTTTTTTTTCTCTATATATATCTCTAACCATTTTTTTTTATTTAAAAAAACTTTGAGAATTTGTAAAATAAGGATTTGAATTTTTTAAGATTTTAGTTTACTCTTTTCTACTAAATTTTATTTATTTATTTATTTATTTATTTTTCATACCAACACTGTTAAAATAATAATAATAATAATAGTAATAATAATAATAAAAATAATAATATTTCTAATATCAGTATGCACTGATTTTCGGAATTTGAATTTTTTTGTTTTATTTAGTTTGCACTTTATTTTTGTCTTTTATTTTTTATTTTTATCTTTCCTTTGCTTTAATACTTTTATTTTTATTTTATATTTTTATCTTTACTTGTCCATTGCTGACGTCCTCAAATGGTATCATTTTCTGTCAATTTATAAAATTATTTGTTTTTATATATTTTATTTATAAAATTATTTATCTTTATATATTTTATAAAATGATTCAGTAAGAATAATTTAGTCAACTTAGGATTTAAATTTGTCAGAGAAACCTATTTGCACCAGATTGAAACTTTAGGAGTTTTTTTTGCATGAGAGGGGCATTGTACAATAATGTCCTTTTCGGTCATTTTACATAATTATTTATTTTTATATATTTTATAAAATAGTTCAATAAGGGTAATTTAGTCAACTTAGAGTTTAAATTTGTCAGAGGGACCTATTTGCACCAAATTGAAACTTTAGAGATTTTTTTTTGCACGTAAGATGTGTGATATGCACTGTAAGCATACATTATGGGTTTTTCCTGCACTTAACCCTATTTTCAGCACTAATCTTTATGTTTTGTTTGGTCTACTGCAATTTTGTCAAGAAAGGTTTGAATGGCCTATTTGTGAGAAGAGTTATGATAAGCAACGCCCAAAGAGAAAATGTGAAAACTCTCCGAATTTGATTTAGGTAAGCCAGGTCAAAGTTAAAAAACTGAAATGGAAAAAAAAACAAAAGAAAAAAAGAAAAGATGGTGCTTCATCTTTTCCCTCACAAATAGAAAATTGAAAACTCTTCGTCCTCTCCGTTACCAAAATCATAAATCGCAATACATAAAAAGAGTATAAATAATACTATATTTGTTTTGCTACAATCAATAGTTAAAATAATTTGATTTAATACTATAAAGTATTAAATCAAATTATTAAGGGTCTTCATGAGTTCTCTTCCCTGTCTAGTTTGAAGCCTAACCTCACCAAGAGTCAGATCTTTACTGCTAATATCCCTGATGACATTCATGACAGCATGGTTGCTTCCACTGGACTTGAAATTGGCCACCTTCCTCTCAAGTACTTGGGTCTTCCTGTCAGTAATACTAGGTTACAAGTTAATGACTGCAGAATTCCTGTGGAGAGAATAATCTCTCGGATCACTAACTGGACCTCAAAGTTCCTTTTCTTATGCTGGGAGACTTCAGCTTGTCAAATCCATCCTTATCAACATACATTCGTATTGGAGCAGACATTTTATCCTTCCACTCTAGGTGCTGAGCCAAATTAATTGTGTCCTAAGGAAATTTCTATGGACAGGGAAAGAATTGAAAGCCACTGGTGCCAAAATCAACTGGTTGGCTGTATGCAAGCCCAAAGATTATGGAGGGCTGGGGCTCCCAAATTTAACTGACATTAATAGGATTTCCATCCTAAGACACATTTGGAACCTCTTCAGTGACAATGGGCAATCCCTTTGGTATGATTGGGCTCATTCAGTGTTGATCAAGCAAAAAAGCTTTTGGACCCTCAAGCCAAATCAGCTTAGCTCATGGAATTGGAGGATGCTTCTCAAGTTGAGAGGCCTTGCTAGACCTTTCCTCAAACACCAAGTAGGCAATGGGAAGGATATTTCACTTTGGCACGATTACTGGTTACCTTTTGGCCCCTTACATGGGAGAATCGACCCTAATCTTATTCAAAACTCCCCATGGAACACTCATGCAAAGCTTGATTGCCTTTTAAGGCGTGGTCAGTGGAGGTTCCCTTCCCAATTTAGGAGCCTGGTCCCCTCAATTGGAGTTACTGAGCAACCTCCTACTATTACCAACAGCAATGATACTCCTTTATGGACCTTGTCTACTACAGGGAAGTTCAACTTGAAGCACACATATGATGCTCTCATTCCTCTACCCTTCTCTGTAGATGGAAACGCATTATTTGGTACCCAAATCACATTCCTAGTCATGCTTTTGTTACATGGCTTGCAATACAAAATAGACTCTGGACAAAGGATAGGTTCTTCAACTCCCAACCAGCTAATTCGAGGAGGTGCAACCTATGCTCCAATGAGAATGAGACCCACTAGCATATCTTCTTCACTTGTAGGTACTCTGCACGGGTTTGGGAGTACATTCAACATAGATGTGGTTTTTATTGTGGGGATTCAAGTTATCTTGTGATAGCTAATCAAATCTTGACTCTATGGAACGCAGAGAAGCAGTTTAGCTCTGCTTTACAAATCAAATTGTGCTTTTCCGCATGTATCTACTATATTTCGTGCAAGTTTGATAACTCCAGAACCTCAACACATGGTATGATATTGTCTGCTTTGGGCATGAGCCCACAAGATTTTGTTCTTGGACTTCACGCCAAAAGACCTCATACCAATTGAAGATGATGGACTTGCATATAAGCACTTCACCTTTCCTCTACTT